TCTCTCTCTCTCTCTCTCTCTCTCTCTCTCTCTCTCTCTCTCTCTCTCTCTCTAGGAAAACCCAACCCTCACATGCCTCTCCAAGGATTCTCTACATCCTGGTCCCAAACAGTTCAGGCTACTTGAAAAACTGGTGAGTACTTGGATTTGACCTGGTAGAGAAAGGGTGTAGGTATTAACAGTGATAACATCATTTTCTGAACCAGGAGACTCAAGAGGAAACGCTGCACACTCAGGTGTTTTGGGTCTAAGTCTCTGGGCTAAGAAGACGTGGGTATATCGCTGGCACACTGAAAGCAATGGCTGCTGGGGACAGTCATTTGATTGCTGGCTTGAGTCTTGCTGTGTAACCTGAGAAGTCTGGAGGACTGTGGTGACAAGGGAGAAGGAAGGGACAGGAAGGAGAGGCCAGAGCTGCGCTGTCTGATCTGGCTTGCTCCCCTCTGGCTAAGTGGTAGACAGCTAAAAGCTGACCTAGTTATTCCAGAGAGATTTTGTAAGCTACAGACACACAGAAAGCTGCTTTAAAAAGAGCTACCCTGTGATTTTAAAAGAGCCTGGGCTACTTTTGCCTTTTTGAGTCCTTCTTTCACACAGAGCATAGTTTTAAACATGCATTTTACAACCACACTGGTATAAAGGTGAATCTATTATATTATATTTAGTCACCTTCCAGATACTATAACAAGCACCTGGGGTCATCACATTATAAAAATGAAAGGTTTGCTTTGGGCTCCCAGTTTGGGCATGGCAGTCCATGGTCTTTCAGCCTGAGGCCAGGCGGCTCATTATAATGGATGTCTTAGGGCTTCTACTGCTGTGATAAACACCATGAGCGGAAAGCAGCTTGGGGAGAAAAGGGTTCAAAAGGGTTCGTTTCACTTCCACATCACATCGCAGTTTGTTACCGGAAGAAGTCAGGGCAGGAACTCAAGGCGGAAACCTGGCATCAGAAACTGAAGCTGAGGCCATGGAGGGGGGCCCTGCTCACTGCCGTGTTAACTAACACGTATTGCTACTGAGGATGAGTGTGGTGTTTCAGAGGCCAGTGTCCCCTCTGCCCTGCTCTGCTTTTTGTTTTTGTTTCTGTTTTTAGTTTGTGTGTGTGTGTGTGTGTAATATGACAGAGCATGTGCAGAGGTCAGAGGTCAAGGGGAGAGCTGTGGGATCCAGAGACTAAGCTCAGGTCATCAGACTTGTGTAGCAAGCACTTCAGCTCACCAAGTCACCCCTAGACACACACACACACACACACACACACACACACACACACACACACACACTTTTTTACTAAGGCATCACTTTGCTATTGTATGAGTGTCCCCCTGTCCTAGTTTATTTCTATTGCTGTGCTGGAAAGAAGAAAGAAAGAAAAAAAAAAGAACCTGACAAAAAGCAGCTTGTGAGAGAAAAGGGTTTATTTTACAAGTCCAGGTTATAGTTCATCATTGTGGAGAAGTCAAAGCAGGGGACTTCAAACAGCTAGCCACGTCGCAGCCACAGTCAAGAGCAGAGAGAAATGCGGACATGTGCCCTTCCTGGCTTGCTGTGCTCGGCTCAGAGTTTCCACCCTTCTATAGGTGGTCTAGGAAATGGTGCCATCCATAGGGGGCTAGTTAATTGACACAGCTCCCACAGACATACCCACAATCATCCTCATAGATGATTCCTCCCTGAGGCACTCTGCCCAGGTGAGTTCAGGCTGTGTCAAGTCGACAGGTAAAGCTGACTATCACACACCCCACCCAGCAACATGTGTTCTCATAGCCTTTCTTCCCGGGCAGCAGGGTCTGGAGGTAGGGGCTGTGGGTTGTGTTTGGATCACAGAAATTGAGCCTTCACATTGGACCAATAATCTCCTCCTGAAACTGGGTTAGCTACCACCTTTTCCCTCCTTCACAACTTCTGCTTGTCCCTTCCTTTCCTGCCGTAAGCTGGGAAATCATAAGGCCCTTGCCAGAAATGAGCAAATGTGACATCATGTTATTTGACTTCTGACCTCTAGAACTATAAGTCAAAATAGCTAAAATAAGCCTTTTAAAAAATAATCTAGACTCAAGTCTTTGGTTATAGCTATAGAAAACGTATAGGGCAAATTTATTTACAGAAACATGTGTTCATAGTAAAAAGTCATCTTATTTAGTGTTCAATGCTATGAGTTTTAACAAAAGTATATAGCCATGTGAGCCTTGCTGTAGGCTAGCGACGTCTCTCCTCCAAATCCCCCAGTAGCTCTCTATAATCAGCTCTTGCCCCAGCCGGGAAACTCTGAACTTCACTGTTTAGAATTTCTGCTCTCCAAGTGCTAACCAAGGGTGGTGACCTTGTCTAACTTCCGGGTCAGCCACTCTGCACATTCAGGATGCCATGTAGAGTTTCTACGTCTGTTGTACTTCATAGTCGTGACTGGATGAGCCACACCATCAAACTCAACTCCTCCCCACCCTCCTCCCCAGCTCTATTCTTCCCAGGTTCACTCTTTTTTTTTCTTTAATAACTTCTTTATTGACTCTGGGGGTTTCATATCATGCACCCCAATTCCGTTTGCCTCCCGGTCCCCCCCCAGTCTTCCTCTTATCCCTGCCACATATCCCCACATAAGGAAACAAATAAAAGTAAGCAATCAAATGAACAAAAGTAAAAAAAAAAAATCCCCAAAACAAACAAATAAAACCAAAACCAAAACCAAACAAAATCCCCAACAACAGAAATATCTCTTTGCTTCTCCTTCTTTCTGGCTTCTCCATCACCTCTTGATTCATCCTGGAGGCAATGGGGGCTTCAGTGTGCCGTATAGAATACCTCTTGTCCCATCAGTCTTACTGGCAAATGTTCACTACAAAGAGTCGCTGGTCTGTGTTCAAGGCCTCTTGGTTTCTGGTACACCATCATCACTGGAGCCTAACCGGAACTCCTCTGGGATATCCTGTGTCCGCCACTAGTCTTGGAGATAGCATCTACTCCATGTAGGATGGGCTGGAGCTGGTGAAGCGACTGGTCCTGTGGAATGGTCCCCCGGTTGACTCCTATCACAAGCCCAGAGCTCCAACTCTCTAACTGCATGGTTGGTCTCTCCTGTGAGCGAATGTTCTGTGTCACTTTGTTAACATCAACTCAAACGGATCCCAGGGGCCTCCGTGAGTGACAAAGGAGTTCTAAAGGGAGAAGATGAATGAATACTACCTAACAGATTCATTGTGAGAATAAGGGCTTTGTGCAGGTAATGCTTTTATTATACACACAGTAAATGCTCAATAAATGATCATCATTGGCCACTTAAGAGGATAGCTTTCAAGCCACTGTGAGAAGGTCTTTGTATAGCGCATGTCACATGTCAAAGGACAGACACTTACCAAAGCATTCTGATGAGGAGGTGGATACTCTCTTATCTTCTAGCCAAGGCTGCTAGCTCCATGTTAAATTGGCACTGGAGTCTCTTTTCAAATAAGAAAAAAAAGCTGAGAGAGAAATGATTAACTAGAGAGAGACCGATTTTAATGGCTCAACTAAAGCTGAAACACATTTTAATTCACTACGCTCAGAGCAAGTTGAACTATGTGTGCTCTTATCAATGGCCTTTTGTATCACTGAAAAAACTATTGACTTATTTGCTTGCAAAAGCTTGTACCTTGGGACCAGCAAGATGGTTCAGTGGTTAATGGAGCTGTTTGCCAATCTTGATAACCTGAGTTCAACCCCAGGAATCTTTCCATGCTGGAAAGAGAATTGACTCCCAGTGTTGTCCTCTGACCTGGACATGAGTGTGGAGTATATGTGTTTCCTACACCCACTCCTGGTCCCTACAAAATAAATTATACACACACACACACACACACACACACACACACACCTCAACTTACATCTGAGCTGGTAATAATTACAGATACCTAAAAGTTTCCTGTTTGGGATCCTTAATTGTGGAAGTTGTGACATGGTCACATTTTAAAAGGATTTTTGCTTACCTGCATTGCTAGTGATATTTCACATAACATATCAACACAGCTAATATGAGTGTGTGTGTGTGTGTGTGTGTGTGTGTGTGTGTGTGTGTGTAAAGAGATTTGTGTTTAGGAATTGCCTTACCACACCTTAGGGAGGCTCAATGACTCCAAAGTTTAAAGGGAAAGGCTAGCAGGGTGGGAACACAGGAAGGGGTTTAGTTTGAGTTCACAGGTGGCAACTGTAGAACCAGGAAGAGCTGCCATTGTGGATGAGGTTCAGAGGCAGTCTGCCAGTCTGCTGGAGAGGTCGCTCTTGCTTGGGGAAGGGCAGCCTTTTGCTCTAGTTGGGCCTTCAACAGGTAGGGTGAGGCCTACTACAGGCTCAAGACCAATCTGATGTATTTAGAGTCTACTAGAAGGTGGGCTGAGCAAGCCAGGGGAAGCAACCCAGCAAGCAGCTTCCCTCCATGGCCTCTGAATCAGCTCTTTTCTCTGGGATCCTGCCCTCTTTGAGTTCCTGTCCTGACTTCCTTCACTGACAAGCAGCAATGCTGTAGTGTAAGCCAAATAAGTCCTTTCCTCCCCAACTTGTTTTTTGGTCATGGTGTTTCATCACAGCCATAGAAACCCTAAGACAAGAAGAAAAAGGGGAGAGAAAGAGAAAGAGAGAGAGGTGGAATAGAAAAATGTCACTAAGAGGTTTGTCACAACACAAGAGAGACATGTTCAGATTGTGTCTGATCTTCTTAATGTGGAAAACATGATCTTTTTGCTCAGCTTTGCCAGACAAGCTGACGTTTATATTTGCTGTTTTCCTGATCTTTTATCTTTTTACCAGTGGTTCCTTTTGGGCTCTGATGGAAAATTAGCTTCAGCGACATTTTGCTAAATGGATGAGCTTCAGTGAATTCTATTAAATAAGCCTCATAACTCAGCTGCCTGATCCTTAATCATCTGTCCTGCTCTGGTCTGCACCATCTTCCACTTATCTCCTTCCAGCCTGGTGTTATCCATGGCTGAACACAATGTCCTTGATTATAGCCCTCAGTGTTATGACAAGGGCTTGCTTGCTCCTATCTCTCCACATGCCTCCTTCACCATCCCTCCCTTCCAAAATCCTCCCTAGAGTGGACTGTGTTTTGGACACTGCTTGGTGCTCCCAGACAACACTCTGGGCCAAATCTTATCTAGGCCCTTTTTATGGGTGGCTTCGTATCTGTCCACAGACTTGGCAAACTTTCCGGAAAAGTGGTAGAAGTGATGTCCTCCTGACCCAGGAAATTCCAGCGGGAAGTGTCAAAAGGACAGGACTGTCGAAGGAGCTGGAGGAAGTCGGTGCTCGTGGTGAGAAAATCATTAGGGAGGTGGCTGGGATAAACTTGGACAAAAGCCTGAAGCGGCCAGAATTTATCTGTAGTCCTCACAACCCCTCTAAGGTTTCAATGACTGTTACCTCTTTCTACAAATCCAGTACGATTCTGGATTTCCCCTGCTGACATTTTTTTTTAAAATTTACATCTAGTTAACTCTGAACCAGTAACAGAAGGGCAAAAGGTTTGAACAGATAGTTCACCAAAGAAGATAGAAAGATGACCGGAAAAAGGTACATAGAAAGCTGATGGACCCCATGAGTCATTCGGGAAATGCAAATAAAACCAGCATGAGCTACCACTCCTGTTACCATTATGATCACAGGGTACGAGGGTCCGCCTCAGTCTCTGCTGGTGGGAATGCAGGATGACTATAGCTACTTTGGAAGGCTGGAAGGTTTCATCAGTTTCTTTAAGAGGTAAATACATCTGTGCCACACAGCCAGGTCATCCCACCTTTGTGTAAATATCCCAGAAGAAATGAAAGCCCATCCCCCCACGAAAACTGTTCACAAATGTGTTAGTTCCTCCAGAGCCCGGACTCTTAGCCTGAACTAAGGTTGCTTCCTTAACAAAATGCCACAGGCCAAATGTCTTAAAAGACAGAAATTAATCTCAGTTTTTGAGTCTGGAAAGTTGAAGACTCTGACAAGGTTACTGGTCTAGGCCTCTTCTTGGCTCTGCAGATGGCTTCTTACAGGGTTGTCCCTCTGAGTGTGTTCTGGGAGAATGACAGGGACCTTGTAGCTTCCACAAGGCTCCTTTGGCTTCCTCCTGCAGTGGTGTGAGACAGAACTAGGCTACTGAATGACATCAGCTGAAAGGAACAGCTGATGGCAGCAGGCACCAAGACCTCAAGCCAGCAAGTGAGGTCATCTTAGATAATCCTGTCCCAGTCACTCCAGAAGACATCGGCCTCATGAGCTGGGTGGAGACTTAGGTGAGCCGCAAGTAGAGAACCATAGCAAACACACGGTTGTTCTAAGAGGTGAGTCTTGGGGTGGCCGAAATGCAATGATGCATATGTAATTCCTCTGGGCCAGCTGTTTGTGAACTCAGCAGTAGGTTCCCAGGAAGACCCCCCAAGAACTTATGTCTAGTATTCTTACTGCCTCACTCTAATAATGGGCAAATTGCTCGCCATTTTCCCTTCAGTTAATTTGCTTTTCTTTTATTCTTGATTAGTTTTTCTCCTTCTTCTTTTTTAATTTTTAAAGTTTCTTTTTCTTCTGGTTTTTCAAGACTGTGTTTCTCTGTGTAAGAGGCCCAGCTGTCTTGGAACTCACTTTGTAGACTAGGCTGGCTTGAACTCTCAGAGATCTGCCTGCCCTTGCCTCCCAAATGCTGGGATTGAAGGCATGCACCACCACAGCCCAGCTAAGATTTATTTATCTATTATTTTCTGTGATGAGTGTTTTGCCTGCTTGTGTATCTGTATGTGCCTGGTGCCAGCAGAGGTCAGAAGAGGGCATTGGCTCCCCTGGGACTGTACATTACAGACTGTAGTGAACCACCATGTGGGTCTGGGAATTGAACTAGGGCCCTCGTCAAGAACAATATGTGCTCTTAATCTTCGAGTCAGTTCTCCAACCCCGGTTCTTCTGTTTTGATAGATAGGACCTCACTATGTAGCCCAAGCTGGCCTGGCCAATCCTCCTGCCTCAGCCTCCTGAGTGCTACAATGACCGTCATGTGCCACTGTATCTGCCTAGTTGATTTTTCAAACAGGAATGTCACTACGCATCTCAGAGTACATTAAAAAAACATTATTTCTGTAGGCTGTTTCTATATGGAGCTGAGTGGGAGTGAGAAGTCTGGTTACATATTTAGTAAGTGCATCTATTTTGATAGCTTTGGCTAATAAGGTGCCTTTGTTGGGGCTGTCCTTAAATAGACTTACTGTCAGGCTGTGCCGGTAGGCCTTGCAGACAGTCTCCAGACTTCTTGGGATTGCCTCCTCTCTCCTCACATGCCTGCTCTGCTTTCCTTTGCCCTCCTCATGTCCGTCCTGACATCTTGGGGCATCCTTGTGAACGATGTGCCCCTTCACTTAGGAAAACCCGCCTCTTTTTTTTTCTGTCTCTGGCTCCACAGAGGACCCTGCATATGCTAGTACTGCATGTAGGCTGAATGAGTGATGTTATTGGCTGCCAAGCTCAAGCAGAAAGGCTCAAAACGGGTAAAGATTTCATTATTTCCTTAGAGGGAAGCTTCCGCTGGAGGTGCTCTCTGGGATGGGTTCAGATCCTGCTTTGAAGAAGTATCCATATTGACTCCTAGGTTACACATTAGAATTAAGGCAAGTGACAGCCCATTGCCCTGGAGGAATACAGCAAACAGGACAAGGTACATGGCTAAGAATGATTTCATCACTGGTATGTGATTGACTTGGGAGAGGGAGAGAGAAACATTCACTGGGGACCAAGAATGCCCAATCAGTGAGGTGGATCTAATGACAGCCAGATGGCATCTCCCTTGGGATTTAACATGATTTGATCCGTTCTGATGCCCGGGATGGTCCCAGAGGGCAACAAAGGACTTCTGTACTCCCCAAAAGGTAAGCTAAATAAATCTACAGCAAGAAGAACCAATGCACCCATTAGAAAGGGCAGTGCGGTTAGAATGACGGTTAGAAAGCCATCCTGGCCCAGCACCCAGTCCCTGGAGTGAGCTTTGGGGGCAATAACCATGTGCTCAAGTGACACAAGGTGGAAATTCAGGAGCCAAGGAGTCTGGAGGTATGACTCCCACACCGTAACAGCCAGGGCCTGAAATCTGGCCTGCCGTATTGGTGTGGTGAGTAACATTTTTCTCCTCCAGTCATGGTTTGGATATGAAGAATCCCTCCAAAAGGGTCATTTTGAAGGCTGGCCTCTTGCTAGTTGGTGGGTCCACTCACTGAGAAGTGATTGCATCATGTAGGCTCCGACCTCAGCAGGACTTATAGTTTAATGATGTTCATGGGGAGAGAATGGGAGCTGGTGTCTGGTTGGAAGAAGTGGGTCACCACTGGGTGAGTGTCTCACCCTCAGCTCCATTCCCTCTCTCCTATCTCCTGTGAGGTGGGCAGCTCTACTCCTCTATGCCTTCCCACGGCCGCGATGTTCTATTACTATGAGCCCCACACCAATGCAGCAAGCCAGTCATAGACTAAGACCTCTGTATCTACGAGCCAATGTAAGCTTTTCTTTTTCATATCATTTCTCTAGGGTTATTGGTTGCAGCAACAGAAAACTGGCCAACATCATCCTGTACGCCATGACTCCTCCCTCAGATGAGGAATGTTGGGAATGGGTCCAAAAGTTCAGTGTAGAAGTCCGTGCTCGACCAATTCCTCCCACGTCGAAATGTTACAAGGCCGATGAAATGAACTATCTACATATCTTGCTTGGGACAACGGCTGGTAGAGTGTGAAAGGTCTATGAGCACTGGTTATGTGGCTTTCTGATTGTCCTTGTGACAGGCTCTGTAGTTCAGGCTAGCTTGGAACTTGTGACAATTCTACTCTAGCTTCCAGAATGCTGAGATTACAGACATGAGCCAGGAATCCTTGCTGGTCGTATGTCTCAACAAAGATGGAATACAACTTAGTAATATGCCTTTAATTTCATTGAGTCGTTGAGGTGGCAATGGCTGATTCTTGGGGTTTCTCTCCACAAGTCCTTGGGTTACTGAGACAAGTTTTGTCCTGACCCCTATCTACAGTGTCCTCCTGCCCAGGACACTGTTTTCAGTGTCCTGGGTGTGGGTGCTGTGACACTATGTCTCTCCACCTATCTTAAAATCATCAACCAGGCAGAAACTAAGGTGTTCTTCAACCTCAAGGTGGATCTCTTCATCACATATATAGCTGAGGATGAATTATAAAATGGCTCTTCTTGGTAGTCAGCTTGACTACATCTGGAATTAACTAAAACCCAAGCAGCTGGACACACCTGGGAGGGATTCTTCTTGGTTGGACCTTTTGAAGACAGAAGACCCACCCTAAATCTGGGCCACACTCTCTGGTGGCAGCCCACATAGAAGGACATGGGAGCAGAGAGAGTCTGCCTTTTGGCTGCTTGACCTCACTCTTAGGGGCAAGTTCTTCTATCCTGTCCCTGAGCTATTCCTTCACTAGAGTTAGAACCAACTTCTTCAGGATTCCAATGTGGACTGAAATGGCCGCTCTCTAGAGCTTCCGTGGGACTCCAGCACCAGACAGGGATGGCTGAGACATCCAGTCTTGTGGATTGAACAACTACCAGATCCTTGACCTTTCCTTCATCCATTATTGGGCTACTTGGACCAAAGTCCATAAGCCACTCCAATAAATCCACATGTGTGTATGTATTTCATATGATTATAATATATATAATAAATAATATAATAGGAATATAACATATATATATAGTATATGTGTATGTGTGTGTGTGTTCATTCTTTCAGTTCTGTTTTGTTCCAGACCCCTAATACAATGAATGACCTGGAACTTCTTTCTCCATTTACCGCCAATTGCTGGACCTACAAGCATATACAACCATGTCCAATTTAGAAGTGGCTCTCCTCTCTCTCTCTCTCTCTCTCTCTCTCTCTCTCTCTCTCTCTTTCTCCTTCCCTTCCTCTCTCTCTGAGTCTCCATTGCTCAGATGAGCTGTGAACGTCTGGGTTCAGTCTGCCTTGACCTCCTCCTGGACTCTGGGTGCACACCGTTGCACCTGGGGCTGTTTTTAAGCCCAGCTTTGGATTCTGGGTTCTGAATTTATTTTTCCCCTTTGGAAATGAGCACAGGTGGCTTGGCAGAGTGAGCAGATGCAGAAGGGGCTGACGGGGGCTTCATACAAGTAACAGACTCACTGTCCTGAAATAAGCGTCAGCCTTCAGCCAAGTGACTTGTGTAAATTTCCATAAACAAAAGTTTAAAAACATGGTAAATATAGATCCATTAAAGGGTCTTCAAACAGGAGCCCGGCTGTGCTGCAGCTTGGGTAAGGGATATGATGCAACATGGCTCTTACACTGTTTCCTTCTTTTTTCTTCACTTATGAGTGAGGATTGTTGGTTTTGTTTCGTCTTTTTTGAGATAGAGTCTCTGTATAGCTCTGGCTGCCCTGAAACTACCTCTGTAGACCAGGCTGGCCTTGAACTCATGGAGATCTGCCTGCCTCTGCCTCCCAAGTATAGGGATTAAATGTGTGCACTATTAAGCCCAGTGAGGATTTTTATGTGATGTGTAAAGAGTCTTTAACCTATTGGCTTATTTGTCTCAAATGATCTTTATCTTTTGAGTGATGGCTTTTAGGATGGCTATATATTTAAAGGGGTAACTATGTCCACAAAAAGGGTTACTTTGTCACAGCGGCTATGGGAGAGGACCATGTCCAAAGGCCTCCATATTAGATTCTCAGCTGATTCAGATTCCCTTTAAAGAAACTTTGGTTGACGAGTATAGGTCTTTTTGTTGTTGTTAGAGATTTATTTTTATTTCATTTTATGTGTATGAGTGTTGTGCCTGCACATGCGTCTGTATGCCATGTTCACACTTGATGCCTTCGGAGGCCAGAAGAGGGTACTGATCTTAGGTGGTGTGGAGATCGTTGTGCTCACAGACGAACACTAGGGGAACCTGGAATAAGCACACCGGGTTGGCTGTTCCTTCACGGGAAGGAATCCAGTACCTGCTATCCACCCAGAAAGTGGGAAGTAGGCCTGTTTTCCATCCTGGTGACGTTTGCACTGTCTGTGTAGAGACTGTTCCAGCACTGGATTCTTCCCCAGACCCTTACTGTAAATTTGTGTGTGTGTGTGTATGTGTGTGTGTGTATGTGTGTGTGTATGTGTGTGTGCACATGCGCACGCATTTTCAGTCAGTCTGTAGAACTCATCTTTATGGACCTTTACAAAGAATTTCAATGTAATCACATCTGATCTATATTTAGCTTACTTTGTTCCTCAGGGAGATCTCTGTAGGCTTTGTTGTGCACAAAGGATTGAGTTAATCATCAACAGAATAATTTTCATCAAATTGTTCTGTGCTTAAATGTACCACTTGGAGTCAAACTTCAGAAGTTTGAACCAATACGACTATTGAATCTTTTTGTGCCTAATTGCCATTTTGCCTCCCACAGCTGTCTCTCTACAGCCCATTAGGGTCTTAGATACCCCCACAACTGACACTCAACATGGGCTTGACCCTCTGGAAAGGTAAAAAAAAAAAATTTCTTTAAATAGAAGAGGAGGGTCAGAGCTCAGTCCTCTCACCCAAGGGGTCATAGCTGAAATGAGAGCGTGAAAGAGCACAGGGTTTTCTCAGCCTTCTGAAGCAAAGCATCTTATACAATTATTTTTAGATGTCTGTTAAAATCCATGGGAGCAAAACATTCAGAAAACAGCTCTGCAACGTTGTACGAGTGACTGTAATATTCAATTCTTGGTTTCCTAAACAAGGGACAGTTGATGTAGACAATTGGGGACCCCGTGAAAAGGGGCATAAAATCCCTGTCAGTTATTTTGCAATCTGGACTCTGGTAAGGTATCGTTTGAACCCTCTTTAGAAAGACCAAAAGTGTCCTCTGGGCGTTTCTTGGCAAGGGGACAAATCAGGCCAAGGAGCCAAGTGGGCTCCCAGCTTCTAGTGGTGGCTGAAGGGTGGCCAGAAGCTGCCCTGAGGCTGCCACCAACATCCCCAACTATACCTGAGTCATGATATAAAAATGGAAAATACTGGGGCTAAACAGAATGTTGATCCAAATTTAACAAGGATGATAAGCCTTTAAGCTCCCAATGGGGCAGCTCCTAGCCCCAGAATCAAGGGGGAAACCAACCCGGTATGGATTGATCAGTGGCCCCTTCATGGGGAAAAAAAAAATTAAAGCAGGCACAACTTCTATTACAGGAACAGCTGTGACTTACACATATAGAACCATCAGTTAGTCCTTGGGAACTCCTCTAAGTCATAAAAAGAGAAAAAATAAATTTTAACTGTTGCATGATCTCAGGGGGCATAAATGCTACTATGAAAACAATGGTTGCCCACCAGCCAGGGTTCCCCATTCCTACTATGATTCCTCAAGGACATTACAATGGTGCTGGAGAACTGTCTGTATTCTGTCAATCATGTTTTAAATAAACGCTGATTGGCCAGTAGCCAGGCAGGATGTATAGGTGGAACAACAAGACAGGAAGTAGAGGTGGGGCAATGAGAACAGGAGTATTCTGGGAAGAAGGAAGCTCTTCCTCTCTTCCTGCAGTCCTGCCCAGACCACGGAAGACGCAGGATGTGCCCCCCCCCCCCCCCCGCAGAAAAAGGTACTGAGCCATATGGCTAACATAGAGAAGAATAATGGGTTAATATACGTTATAAGGGCTAGTATAAAGCCTGAGCTAATGAGCCAATCAGTTTATAACCTAATGTAGACTCTCTGTGTGATTTTCTTTGGGGGCTTACTGGCTGTGGGAACAGAAACTCCAATAAGCCCACTCCTCATGTTACATTACATTATTATACTTGATTTAAAAGACTGTTTTTTCTATTCCTTTACATCCTGATGATAAGAAATACTTTACATTCTCTGTTCCCACTTTAAACAATTAACAGCCAAATTCAAAATCAGGGGAAAGTGTTACGACAAGGGACAAAAAATATAGCCCCACTATATGTCAATATTATGTACATAAAGCACTTCAGCTGATACTGTTTAAATTTCCTGGGGTATTAGTCATTCATTCTATGGATAATATTCTCCTCTCATGCTTGCCTAATCAATACTTAAAGAAATGCTTTAACTGTTATGGTAAATAAACTAAAAGAACAAAATTTAAACATAATTCCAGATAAAAGACAAAAACAATCACCTTATAATTATTAAAAATATATTAGTACTCAACAACAAATTTGCCATCATCCTCTTTCAGCTTAAATCTTCCCAAACATCATACCCTCAAATACTTCGAAAAAATTTGGGGCCGTGTCAGTTGGGTATGTTTTTATCTGCCTTATACTTTCAAAGATTTATTTCTGCTCTTTAATTTACTTTCTGGAGAATCTTGGTTAAATTCTATCAGAAACATAATACTCAAAGTGGAGTGAGTTATTAGTTTGCTAAGTAATGCTGCTGCAAAAGCTGTAGCTCACAGAAAGAATCCCCTACTCCCTGACCAATTACTCAGCCTTCCGTCTCCTTCATTACCTACTAGGATTATAAATCAACAAAGTATTATAGAAATTTACACATGGTCACAGGCCCAGAGAACCTAGACAACAAAGAAGACCCTAATCTACATGGGAAGTAGAAAAAGACAAGATCTCCTGAGTAAATTGGGAGCATGGGGACCTTGGGGGAGGGTTGAAGGGGAGGGGAGAGGCAGGGAGGGGAGCAGAGAAAAATGTAGAGCTCAATAAAAATCAATTAAAAAAAAGAAGAAAAAGACCTTTACACATGGCATAATCTCTGCAGTGAGCTGTAACCCCTTATTTACAAGAAATTATGGGCTTAATAATGATGGGAAGGACACACCTTAGACAATTTACTGGTCAAAAGCCTGTAGAAATCACTGTGCTGCTAAATAAAATGTAGGTTGATTATTTGTTCCCCACTGATAATAAGTGGCAGATGGCATTAGCATGTTACTTGTGCTCGAGAGATAATCATTATCCTAAAGATCCCCTTTTAAGAATTTTTGAAGTTACCCCATGGGCATTACCTAAAATTATATCTAAAAATCCTATAGAGATCACTTTTAATGCTT